TAGCACTCATGTGACTTGAGAATAACTGAAATTAAATGGGTTGACACTCACATAATTGAAGGCACTGCTTAATCTGTTATCTCAAACACGTTAAATAAGTCTTTACCCTGAAATCAGATGCGGAGAAAAGGGAAGTCAATGTGGCAGTGCATTTAATTTTTCATTTGCTTTTAACGTGGGTCTCCAGTGAAGGCCAGCAGTTTGAACCTGGGGTTTGAAGGCAGATTCCCATGCTCTCCTCGCCTTGGGCGAGCTCTCGTCCTTGAAATCCTGAGACTTTTCACTCCAGAGAGCTCCCTTTCATTGGAGCATCATTTCACTGGAGCAGACCCTTCTGCTGGATTCGCAGCAGGGGGGAGCAGCCTGAGCTCCAGCCCCCAGCTGTCGAGGGGAAACAGTTCCTCTGTGTATGGTTCTCCCAGGACTGTGGGCACTTGACCTGATAAGGGTGGGGAGCCTTGTCTTGTCTTTAAATTAATTTAATCTATTGCCAGTTAACACAAACTTCTAATGACTGATTAGAGGTAACGGATGTACCCACTGGCTGTGGCTCGGGGCAGCCTGTGGCATCCTCTCGCACAGGCACTGCTGCCTAAACTAGGCAATTCATGCCCAAAACAGCCCTTCGGCATGAATAGATCGGGTGCTTGTGCGTGCACTAGCTGGGTGCCGATGCTGCCTATGGACACTGTGTGCTCCCCTGGGTCCTCATGCTATGCTGTTTGGGGGCTCCTATGGGAACGAGTTTGGTATTCGTGCATGTGATAACTGTGTGCTCCTGCGTGAACTCATTTGGTGCTCATGCACGCACATGGGGCCAGGGGACAGCGTTAATTTGCTGAGGAGACTTTGAGCTTGCTCATTTGGATGCCTAAACCTGGGGATTTACATTAGTAACATTGGAAGAGCTGGAGCGCACTGCTCATGAATGGAGCAAACAAATGAGATATTTAATTTAGAGACATATCCAAATGAAGCCTTGAGTATTGGGCCTGCAAAAACCTGCAGATAGCATCTCTTATGTGAAACAGCAGCCTTGGGAATGAAGGGCATTTGCATGTGGAAGGAGGGAGCTCCTCAGTGCTGCTGCCCGGGTGGGTGCTCATCCTCTACGCCCATTTCGGCTGGGACTGTGGGGCAGAGATGGGCTGGGGCAGTGCAGGTGGCTGCTGCTGTTGATGAAGTTCACTCACAGTTTCCCAAACTTCTGCCTCCTGAGCGATGGTGTGGTGTGCCAGCAGATGCCCTGTCTTGGTCTCATTTTTAAAACTGCACCAGGTTTTGCGTGTAAGCGATTCCTACCGTACTCTCCCGTATGGTTTTAACACAGCAGTGACGTGATGAAAAGAAACTGGTGGTGCTGCAGTATGAGGAGTGGTCTGGCTGCCAAGGATGTTTATAAATTTTAAATACAGCAGTTCACCAAAGTACAAGACCTGTGCAGTGGCAGACGGTGCTGTTCTGGACGGGGTTGCCTCTGGGCTGGCGCTTTCCTTCCCTGCAGCTAACTTGGACTTTTGCCTTTGCAAATCCCATTTAATAAAGCAATGGCGCTGGAGGCCCGCTCCTTCGCACACCTCCCAGAATGCTCTCGGGAAGTAGGAGACGGTAGCGCTGGCTGCAGGACCAGTGCCTTCTGAAGCATCCCAGACCCCAGGATGCCCAAAGGGACCAGCAGGAACAGAGCTGATCGGGAGCAGGAGCGGGCAGCCCTGCCTTTTCCCACTTGGCATCACAGGGAGGCACTGGCAGCATCCTGCTCACTGGAGCTCAGGGAGGATGCTTTGTCCCTGGGTGCTGCTGGGTGGCAGTGGTGGAGGGGTCGGTCACAGCCTTCAGCAAGACGGTGTGGATTCCTGTCAAGAGCGACGGTGAAGAATCTGCCTCCTCGCAGATGGGGTTCCCCCTTCCCTCCTCCCTGTCCCTGTGCTGTACTCCCTGCGGCGTGCAGCCAACTCTGGATCCTGCTTCTGCCTTGGCGGTGGGTGGAGAAACGCAGCTGGAGTGGCTCTTTAGAAAACAGAATTACAGTAAAACGTGGGAGGTTCCTACAAGTCACCTGTGAGCTGCTTCCTCCCATTCCCGGACCCGGGCTGCCTGGGAGGAACTTTAAATTGCCACCCAGCTCAGCCCTGGCCACTGGCTCCGGCAGCATGACAGCGAGAGGCATCTTACTGCTGGGGCTCCTCGCCCTGTGGGCAGAGCTGCAGGCAGCACCCACCGCAGGCAAGTACAGGCACGCTGGAAACACCCAGCATCTCTAGATTTTAAGAATATTTTCTGTATTTTCATAGAATCATAGAACAGTTTGGGTTGCAATTGAACTTGATAGTTCATCTCGTCCAATCCCCCTGCAATGAGCAGGAATATCTTCAACTAGATCAGTGTTGATGGTGATGATGTTCAGTGATGTGTGTTTAAATGTTTGGTTTCATCCTTGTATTTATGAAAGCTTCCTGTGAAGAGTTGTAACACTTGTGAGGTTTAACCCTTGCTTAAATTTTATAATCTTCGAGTTCTGCAAAACTTTTGCCAAGGATGGAGATGGCGGTGGTACCAGCACGCAGGCATAGGGATGCTCAGGAGGAGGTTTGTCAATCGAACCAGTGGCCAGGGCAGGGACCAGTGGAAACACCAGCCTGGCCAGAGCCTGAGGGTGCTGCAGATGGGAGCAAGATGGGCTGGACCAGACCCAGACTGGTCCCTCCTGGCTGGGCAGAGCAGCTTCCATCTGTGGGGCTGGGACCCCCCTGGGGCAAGTGTGGACCTCCACCCCTCACAGCCAGGTTCGGCGCATCTCTAACCGAAATGAGAACCTGCAGGTTGTTAGAGCCGAGCTCCAGTGGGCTGAGCTCTGCTGCCCACCTGCCTGTGCCTGCCTTGGACCAGAGCGCATCACAGTCCTCACCTGGGCTGGTGGCTGCCCCTGCGCTTTGCTTTGTGGCAAGTTCAGGGCATCTCCTCCCCTCATCAGCCCTCTGAAAGCACCAGCCCTGCTGGGGAGGTGCAGCTCTGGGAGAAGGGAAATTCTCCAAAAAGAATTATTTTTCCTCCTCTTTTTTTTTTCTTTTTTGAAAAATGGCCAACTTTCAAACAAGTGAAAATTGCATTGTTTTTGAATGAGCTGTGAAGTGATTTTGAGAGCAGTGTTTGAGATTTTACGGAACCCTTTCCTTCCGAATGCTCCTGCATGCGTTGCCAGTTGGGCTGTTTTATTCTAAAGCTCAAACTCTGAGGCAGCGACGATTTGCTGTTGCTCTGTGACAAGATGCTGGGGCCATCGCACGCTGATGAAAATGTGTTGGAGAAACTTGAGTTTCTTTTGGTCTCAGTTTATAGGCTGGTTTTAAGCCTTACGATACAACCTGCCTTTTGCCAGCAAGCTGGCAGTGCTGGTGCCTCCATTGCTAATGTGTTGGTCCCCTTTCCTGTCTCGGAGCGATGTCCAGGGACCAGTGCTGCCTGTGGGGAGCCTTGTGCTGTGCCGTTCTGCCACCGAGCGGGATCACCTGCTGCTGCTCAACAGCAGAGCGTGCAGCCTGATTTCCTAAACATGCTTAGTGATATATTTGTGCCCTGGTTAAATAGCATGTGCTGTATTTATATTTGTTTTGCTAAGAAGTTGCTGCAATCACACACATACACACAGATACGCACTTTCTTGCTTTTCCTTTCCAAGTTCTGACCCAGGTCTCCCGGCTCGGTGCCTGCAATCAGCCCGGTGGCTGTCTGCCGATGTGCAGGAGTTGGGGTGCTGCAGGAGGGGCTGGCAGGAGGCTGGTGCTTTGGGGATGCTGGCAGCCACCAGCATCTCTGCCTGCAAGGGTCGTGGAAGCCACGGGAGGAGCAGGGTGGGGACATGCCCGGGGGATGCGGGGCTTGCCGTGGGTGTCAGGGTGGGCTGCGGCATGGTGCCACCTCTCCCCTACTGCCCTCAGGCACTGGCCCCACCATGACACTTCCATGTGCCGGAAGGCACTGGTGTGGCCCCAGGGGGCTGTGTCACTCTGCCTGGGTGGGCAGCAGTGGTCAGGCAGAGCCCTGAAAACCAACCGGGAAAAGACACAGGGGAGAAGGCAGCAGCACAGCACCGTGGCAAACCCAAGTGCTGCGAGTGCAGGGAGCGTCCTGCCCTCGATGCCCCGGCACGGCATCACAGTGCCAACTCTGAGACCCTGAGCCATCAAGGGGCAGATCCCTGTGGGCTTTGCCCGCCCAGGAGCCCTGTGTGGTGACGCAGGGTGCTGCGGGGTGGGAGCTGTGGGTGGGATCCGTGGGTTGGAGCCGTGGGTGGGAGGGCAGCGCAGGGCTGGTGCCCCGGGGCTGACGCTGCTGATTTCTGCTCCCTTCCAGGGCTCCCCGGAGCAGCCCCTGCCAGGCGGCCGCAGCCAGGGCAGCCCGTAAGTACTCTGCCGGGGAAGTGCCCTTTGCCTGGGGAAGAGCCCAACACAGTGCCCAGTCCGCAGCCCGGCAGGAGCACCCTGGATGGGCAGAGGGACCCGAGTGCGGAGTGGGTGGGTAAGGACCAGTGCCCTCCCAGGGCTAAACCGGTGGCTGCTGCGACACCCGCCCTGGGGAAGAAGCCGGTGACCGGGGGAGAGCCTGCGGCAGGGAACAAGCCCACGCTGGCTGAGCAGCCAGACACTGGGAAGAAACCTAGTTCAGGGAAAAAGCCAGCATGTGGGGAGAAGACTGAGACTAGGGAAAAGCCAGAGGTCGTAGCAAAGCCAGAGATCGTAGCAAAGCCAGGAGGGAAGCCAGATGCCGGGGGGAAGTCGGAGACCGGAGTAAAGCCGGGGACTGGAGTGAAGCCAGAGACCGGGGCAAAGCCAGAGACTGTGGGGAAGCCGGAGACTGGTGGGAAACCAGTAGCTGGGGGGAAGCCGGAGACTGGAGGGAAGCTGGAGACCAGTGGGAAGCCAGAGGCTGGGGGGGAGCCAGCAGCTGTGGAGAAGCCAGAGGCTCAGAGGCTGGAGGGAAGCCAGAGACTGGGGACAAACCTGTGCTGGGGGAGAAGCCAGAGTCAGGGGGGAAGCCAGAGAGCGAGGGGAAGCCTGAGGCAGGAGAGAAGCCTGAGTCTGACCAGGGTGACAGCGGGGAGGATGATGACGGTGGTGATGATGGTGATGATGACGATGATGAGAAAAATGAGCATGGTGATGGCAATGATGATGGCGACAATGATGAGGATGATGATGACAATGATGGTGACGACAATGGTGATGATGATGGTGACGATGATGGCGATGATGACGGTGATGACAATGGTGACAATGATGACAGTGATGACAGTGACGACGATGACGATGACAACGGAGATGATGATGATGATGATGATGATGACGATGATGATGACGACGACGACGACGACGACGACGGTGGTCCTGATGGTGATGATGATGGTGATGACAGCTATGACACTTGGTGACCGATGCCTCAGGGTGTGTGAGGAGCATGTGGGGCAAGGAGAGCTTGTGGCAGGTGGGCACTGGGGCAGCCACCCCTGGCCTCCTCCTCTGTGTCACTCTGCCAGGGCCGGTCCCGGGCACCAATGGCATTTTGGGCAGGACTTTTTCTTTCCTAATAAATCCCACATTGGGCCACTAGCTTGGTGTGACAAGCTGTCCCTGGTCAAAACGCTCGGCACAGCCAGGCCATTAGGGCTGCCAAGCCCTGCCTCAGGCACAGGGAGCCCCTGTGCCAGCTCCTGCCTGGTGTGGGCTTGGCAGAGCCCTTTGCACAGGGACGTGATTCTGTCACCCATGGGAGAGCCACAGGGACTGCATGCCCAGGACCAGCAGAGCATCTCTGGGCCAGGAGAAACTTCCCTGTAGGTTCTGTCCTGCCCCCAGACCCCTGCGGCTCCCTGGGACAAGCTGCCCCATGGCCAAGACACCCCGGCATGCTCTGAAGGCAGCCGCCATGGCAGGGCTTGGCCAGAAGCCATGCGGGCATGGACACCCATGGGTCCCAGATCTGGTGGTTTTGCACAGGTGGTCTGTTGGGGTGGTGGGAGTTTCTTTGCCCCTTGGAGCCTCACCTGTGCCCACCGTGCTGTGCCGTGCCAGCGGTGGTGCCGGGCACTGGGTGACTGCTGCCTGTTCCAGATGAGAGAGGCACCCCCAGCTGACCTCCAAGGGCTCAGGACAGCCCCAACACACTCCTGCTGCAGAGCTGCACCAAGGCGAGGTTGGGGCTGAATGTGTCACCATGGCCCTGGAGTGATCCTGGATCATCTCTGGGGACACGATGGGGTCCTGCCGGGCGCCTGCTCCCAGGAGGGTCTCTGAGAATAGGAACAAGCCCAGTCCTGGCAGGAATGGCTGGACCCATGGAGTTTGGGCAGGACTCGTGTGCAGGTCCCCCAGGACGTGCCAGCTGCAGTGACACAGCCCCTGCCTGGGACCCCAACCCTCCCACAGGGGCCGAGGTGGTCCATGGAGGGAAGTAGGGGCTCAGCAGGAGACTGACAGAGTGGGAGCCAGCCAGTGCTCATCACAGACTGGGTTTACTGGGAACTGAGGGGGACACAGAGACCCCTGTGCTCAGCGCTGAGCAGAGGGTGAGGTGGTGGAGGTGGGACGGGGGAGACGGGTGCTCATCCTGTAGCTGATGGATCCCTCCATGGCCAGCTGTCTGTCTGTCCGTCTGCCTGGCATGGGGTGGTGCGGGGTGGCTGCACATGTGGGTTCCTCAGTCCTGGTCCAGGCAGGAGCTAGGTGAATCCTGGGGGGAGATGGGAGCATCATTGTCCCAAACCCTCGCTTCTGAGCATGCCAAGGCGCAGCCATCGGCCCCATGGCAGTGGCTTGGGAGACAGAGGGGCCCAACACCCTGATCACCGCCTCCCAGGGGAGCTGTCGGGGGGTTTCCTGGTCACTTCTGCAGTATGCTGTGTGGGGAGATGGCACTGCTGTGCAGGATGCTGAACCCCGGCCACGGCGACGCTCATCCCTTTACATGCAGCCACAGATCACAGAATCACAGAATGGTCAGGGTTGGAAGGGACCTCTGGAGATCATCTAGTCCAACCCCCCTCCCGCAGGGTCCCCGCACCCACCCCGTGCTCACCTGTGGACACCAGCCGAGCCCAGAGGCAGCAGAGCCCCAGGAGCAGGAGCAGTGACAGCAGCCGCATGGCGGGGACAGGCAGTGTAGGGGCTGCCTGCCCAGGCACAGGCAGGGGTTTAAATCCTCTCCTGGGGCTGGAGGTTGGTCCCAGTGACCCCATCCATGCCCCACTGCCTGGTACGCTCCGTCCGAGCGTGAAACCCCCCCCCATCCCCTCCCTCCTGTGGGCTGCTGCCGCTGGACGAGCTGCGCAGGGAGGCACGAAGGTGCTGCTGTTCAGCTTTGGGCTCTGTGCAGCCCTGAGAGAGTTTGTGCTGTGCTGTGCCGTGCTATGCCATGCCGTGCCACGCCATGCTGTGCCACAAGCCAAGAGCAGCTGGCACAGTTTCCCACAGCAAAGGAACAGGTACAGGCCAGGTGGTAGTGAGGGTCCGGGGGGATCCCGGTGTGAGGCTGGCCCTGCTGAGGCAGCAGAGGTGGCTCCCCGGCCGGGCGCTGTGGAGCGGCCCATGGTGCCCTGGCAGCTCTCCGGGCATTGTTCTGCCTCCGGGAACAATCGTTGGCTCCCAAGGGACGTACTGTGACCGGACACGGTCCACAGCCCTGCACTGCCACTGGCCCCTCAGCCCCGCACCTCCCCGC